TACATATAAAAGATATCCTAATATGATATTTTCTCAGATATATCTTTAGTCCTGTTCCTACTGTAAATTTCCTAAATCAAGCTGGGGCTTTGAGAGTTTTAACAACCCATGTGTTGGAGTTTCGTTTCAAACGCGCTCACCTCCTTCGCTGCAGCACTGAGTAAGGAAGGCTGTGAGATAGTTGAGGGATCCTGGGCCTGGGCTCTTCAGAACGATGAGGACTCAATGGCCAAACACAATCCGCCCATTGAACTCCCATTTAGGGGGGTATATACTGTGCCCTATTGACATACCATGACACACCCTTTAGCTCACAAAAAAAACGAATGGCCCTACTTGGATCATTCAGGTCAGGAATGAAACAATGATTTTCTGCGTGGGTATAACACATCTCGTAAATTATTTATTGTTAAACCTTGAAACCCTTCGAAGATGCTTGGGTATGCAGCAGTATCTCTCCCAAGTTCCTTGTCCATCTTGTCCATAAACCAAAAAAACCGTTCACCTACCCTTCAAACATCGCCCATATTTTTGGAAAATCACTCCTTGTCGACTAAACATACTAAACCACCTGACCATGAAGCCCCAACGTTTTTCCATGGTTTGTTCCATGGTTGTCCAACCTGGGTCTGCCGGCCATCCAGGATTTCACTTCTGAGGGAGACATGAGATCATGCTTCAGATCCTGACACCAGGGAGGGCACCAAAGAACCAGCGGCGAAACCAAAAAAAAACGAAATCTACTGTTTGATGATCCTGTTCCCTATTTTTATCATTATTATTAATATTTATTAATCATTAGTTCCCCATCTTCTTCCGTGATGCTCCCTGTTTCATCATCATGGTCATCATGTTCCGTACGTTTTTCAGAGCGTGAGGGTATACGAACCATTTTCAGGTCCACACCCAGATCATTTCGCGATGCCTGATGATCCAAGCCGGGGATTTGTGCTCAGATCAAACTACTGCAGGCTACCCATACCCTGCATTCTTTTACCTCAGTAGTAACCCCACTATTGGCTAAACAAACCATTCAACTATACCCAACCAAGGTTTACCCAGCAACATAATATCGAGGATGAATGGACTTCAGCCAACATGTTATTCCATAAACATCCACAAACCTATTTTGGGAATCCAGATTCTTGGCTGGAAAAATCAAGCAGCACGTCTTCGTGCCTCCCTGTTGGAGAGTCGACTGGCAAAGCTTGCGCAGGGACCTGCACAACAGGCTGAACCTTTGGTTTTTGGCCCCTCGGGCGTGCGGAAAACGAGCCGCAGCTGTGATGATCATCTCATTTGGTGGGACGAATTTTGTGTTGGAGAACAACCATCATCAACGTGAGAGCGAGGGCAATAACAAAACGTCAGAGCAGGACTTTTGTAACAGGTTGGCCATTTGAGTCACCTGTCCAGCTAAGCTTGCCTTTGGCATCAAACTCTGGACAGGTAAAGGTTGACTCCCCTTACCCGTCTGGTGTGGGCGGGCGGGGAAAATGAAAGCACCCCAGCCTTGAGCCAAAATGGCCACCAAGGCCAAGGTGCTTACTCCCACCCTCAACTCCCCTCTCACTGAATTGGTTGTTACACACACAGCAAGCTGTTATTACCAACAACCATCATCAACGTGAGAGCGAGGGCAATAACAAAACGTCAGAGCAGGACTTTTGTAACAGGTTGGCCATTTGAGTCACCTGTCCAGCTAAGCTTGCCTTTGGCATCAAACTCTGGACAGGTAAAGGTTGACTCCTAGGTGAGTCAAATGCCAACCATGCCCTACTTGCGGAGCGCATTAGGACTCTGACGACCGCGACTGGGAAGATGAGTGAGAAGGGCTCCCATCGCTTTCGTTATTCACGGGGAGTCTTAAAACATTTGGAGCATTTTGCTCCATTCGGCTCTTCTTTTTGAAGGGCATACGGCCTGGCCACGGGTAAAATGCCAGAAGCACTTCGTGCGCCAGAAGTCATGTGGCAAGGTATTCCCGTGCGCTCGGCCAAGTGTACTTGCCTCTCGAAGAGCGGTTTCTAACAGACTACATCATTCTCCAGTGATTCTGGTGCCGGAGTTTCAATGATGGCCGCTGCTTAGCAGTCTGCCAAGGCCTCGATAGGCTGGCTGGCTATGCCGGTTGCGGCTGATGTCGCCTCTTTGGTGGCCGCAAGAATGGCAGTCAGCTCTGCCCTTGCTGCTGCAAGGGAAGATTTGGACGACACCTCTTGGGCCAAACCGTGAATTGGGCACATCTCTTACATGTGGTTTAAAGTTTAAATATTTCGGGTTCCAGGCGTCCAGGGAAACCGGATCTTCCAGAGTTCATCTGGGGGCGAGCCACGCAAACGGCTCCTGTGCCTCTGGCTGAGTGACCTGTGAGCAGTCGAGGCCCGGTGGGCCGACTAGGTCAAGCCCAGAGCCCCCCACGACTGAGTAGAACAAGCCGGGAGTAGGTCCAGGCGTGGCTGAGTGACCTGTGAGCAGTCGAAGCCCGGTGGGCCGACTAGGTCAAGCTTCAACCTTTGCGCAATCACCTCAAGGTTCCGGCCCGCCTGACTCAGTATGTGAGTGCCGGCTCTGGCATTAAAGAGGAACGAATGCTACTGTATCTTGGCCCATTTCACTTGCTCCACCATGAGATGGTATGGGCAGAGTGTTGGGCTGCAATGCTGCCGTCCTTTGTAATGTGCTTTTGCATTGCGACTTCTGGGTACAGTTCAGCTGACTTGCACCCTGCTTTTTCCAGGGCCCCCCACGGCTGAGTAGAACAGCCGGGATAGGTCAATGCGTGACCGTACCTTGCCGCTATTGCCACGGATTCCCAAGTGCGCTACCGGGACGATGTTGGCCCATGTGAGTAGGCTGCACGGGCCCGTATGGTCATGTGGTCCATGCGCTCCCGGGGTCCGGAGCTTGCAGTCTAATGGCTGGCTCCAGGGATCCCATGCCGTGTGGTTTAACTTGGCGATCTTCGGTTTGCACGCCTAGTCGTCGCCACAATTGGCTATGGGCACGCTGGACGGAAGACTGGCCCTTCGGCTAGAGGCTTTGACCCCTTGGCTCTTTGGGCTTGTCGCGGACAGTGGCTGGTCTTGCCAGTATCTGGGCCCTACGGACCTCTTAATGTTTAAAATTGGTGCCGCGGGAATTTTCCCACTTGAAACAAAACCCTACAACGCAAACACAACCAAACACCCAAGCCCGGACTCACTTAACCCGCCTTGTTTTGCCGCGATCGGGTTCACGGATCTGACAAAGGTCGGAACCTACCTCGATGGGAATCCTTTTTTTTTTGGCTTCCCCGAGGCGGGTTCAAGCTCTGCTGTGGCAGAGGTGGCATTCTTGCCAATTATTTGGGCTTCCTTACTGCTACGTGGAGCCCTGTAACTCCGTAGCCTAAGCCCCTGCAAGCGGTGAGTTCGAACCGAGAGGCACCCGTCTGCCGGTGTCCATTGGGGTTTGGCCTTTAAAACCCTAGCACCCCGGTTGCGATGTCACCCCATGCAAGGATTCGAGGACATTGATTTGGGAGTGTTTGGGGATGTCTTGCTAATGTGCGGACGTCCGAAGACCCGCATGCATGAGTCCCCAAGCGGACGTCCGGAGACCCGCATGCATAAGCCCCAAGACGACTTGGGGGTGTGCAGTGGCCCTCGCTCTTGTGAGCGACCGTTGACGACGTTCACAGTGTTTGAACCCGAGGACCTCACAATCAGCGAGCGGAGATCACTCCACCACGCGTTTCCTCCAGGTGGGTGGAGAAATGGTCGCCACGACCCTTCGCGTACCCGTCTGTCTCCGCATGGGCTGGATGCCCCGCTCTACGGGTCGGCCGGTACTCTGGCTGTGTCCGTCGTTAGTGATTGCCTGCCCGCCTCAGCGGTGGCATTCTTTCGCGACCCCCCACGCCGACTGACTCCCGCCGTTGGGTTTCTTGGCGCCAGGTGGAGCTACTGTGGTGCACTGCAGCAAGACAGATGCCGTGTGACAAAGCGGATGCCTGAATGAGAGGCCCGCCCACAACAGGCCCGTCTGTATGATGCTGCATCAGCGGTCGCCACGAGCGCGCCTTGCCGTGCCCTGGGGAGTGTTCTGTGTTCAGGAGTGTGGAGTCCACGAAGACATACTGCCAGCGTGTTGCGCCCCGCCAGACGGTATGAAGTGAATTTTCCCTGTCTGGTTTCCACGACTGTGACCTCGCCCTGACTCGTCCAGTCGTGGGGTCAAACACTGTATGCCCGAGGCGTTTGACCTCAGGGGCGCTACATTCGTTTCCTATGTTTTGAGGGTAACGGCTGCGGAGAAGAAGTATTGATTTATACAATCAAAAGAAAAACGCAAATCACGTACACACAAGTGACCGAGTATGGGAACCTCGGCAACGAACTCCCAGACCCCCAGGCCGGTGACCCACGCCTTCATTTCCACGGAGCCGGGATATAATATCTTTCCGAATTTAGTACCAAATTCACCGAGAGTGAGTCCGTTCTGGATCCTGAGTATGGAGCTGGCACTAAAGAAAGGAGGTGGAACTGCCGAGGCTATGCATTGACCCGAAGTGGTTGGCTGCCTCGCCCTCGCGCGCCAAAAAACAGGCGGTTTCCCAAATCTGTCAGGGTGAGAGCGAGGCCCGCCCTCCCGGGCAAACCTCAATGGCCGGTGACTGCCAAGGTGGTTTAACCGATGGCCGGCCCTACTTACTCGGCCAAGCCCCCGCACCCCGAGGGAGGCTGAAGCCAAGCCCAGCAAAGGCTGATGGCTCGGCATGACCTTCCCGGGTACCCGAGCGGCCAGCGGCAACCAGTGGGTGACTGGCCCGCAGTTCGGATGCCAGAGATTATGTGAGCTTCGCCAATGCATTGACTTCCTCACTTCCCGATACACCGGAATATTGTCTGCAGTGTCTTAAGCTTTTGACCCCGGGTCGGTGAGGGCGTTGTGCCGCTGTGACCCAAGGGATCGTGCTGCGCCAATGGCGGACCGTTCCGTGTACCCACAAATTTTTGTCAAGGTTCCTTACTTTGCTTGCACCCAGACAACCCGGTCCGGAAGGCGGGCTTCCCTGCCCATGCCACCGGTTGTTCGGACATTCTGTGAGTGACGGGGCGGCGTGCTGTCCTGCCCGGAATGGCGACCTTGACGATCATGCCTCCGGGCGGGATTTGGCTTTCTGGAAGCTTAAAATGTGCCACTTGCCTGCCACCCTTCAACCGTGGCCGGTTCAAGCAAGAAGCGGCAGTGTTGATTTCACTGGTGGCGCCCGTAGTGGCTCCAGGCACCACCGGGGTGGCCCTCTCAGGGGAGGGCCTCGGTGCGGACATCCAGTAGCCCCTTCGGCCTCGGCTGGTCGATCTCGAGGACCGCCTTGGCCAGGATGCGGCACAGGCTGACTCCCAATGCCTTTGGTGGGTTTGTCCATTCGTGCTTGGCCTGGTACTGGCTGCCGTCAGCATTGAGCCAAGTGCGGTTCTGGTGCGTGCACCTGATCCCTTTGAGCTGGGACAGGTCTAGCCCGAAGTGCGCGATCTGTGGGCTTTGGGACTTCCTCTCCAAACATGCATTGATCGAAAGCCGCTTTTTCCACGAGGGCGTGTTTCTCCACGGAAGTTCCCCACGTCGTTTTCCAAAAGTCTGCTTTGTTCCTGTCATCCGAACTCTCCAACCAGAATGCTCTGTGTTTCCTGAGTTGGTACTTCACCGCTTCGGCCGATAATTCGAAAATCTGGTTGGACTTCAACAGCTGCTCGTACTCGGCCTTTGATAAGTTCTTGCGGCCGAGCCCGTCTGGGCGTTCTAGGTCCCGCAACGGTTTAGCGCCCGAACAACTGCCCCCCGACCGGGGCAACGTCTCAGACGGCGGGGAAATGCCCACACAGTCGAACACACCCTCCTGAACTTCCCGTAGGATGTTTCTGTAGTTGTCGGGGTCAAGCACATCATTCAACAGGGCCAGCCATGTCCACGACGACGACAACCCAGCCGACTGCCGACAGCCAGCAGGCAATGTCTCCCTCCCTCGGCGTGCCACCGAACAGCAGTAAGGCACGGGGGCGGCGAGCCCAGCGTTCGGGCAGGATGTTGGTTGCTCCATACGCATACTGATGTCACCTGGGTGGTTTGGGTATGGATCCGTCTGCCAGGACGGGCTCAGGTGTCTTGTATGGCGGCTGCCTCTTCCGCGGCAACGGAGATCGACCCCTTGGCACCAGGCGGATACCCGAAGAGCCAGTGGCCGCACACTCGTCCGAATGGTTGGTTCGGTGTCTCTTATGCGGTGGCAGGCCTGCCGGAGAACTGGGTCTTTCCTGTCCGAGAGTTTCGCTCTCGGGGGCAGATGCCCTCCGATCGGGACGCGCTGGTTGTGCCGGAGGTGAAGATTCACCCGACAAGTGAGCGTCTGAAGTGCTTTTGGTCGGGCATTGTGTTGCTTGGTGCGGGCCCAAGCAGTGGTTGCATTGATGGCTCCGGTGGTAAGTGCACCTGGATTGTGGCTTCCCATTTCCACACTGCCCAATGTTAAAGTTGATACAGATTTCAAGGCCCTTTCTGTTGAGGGAATAATGCCCCACTGAGAAGTCCCAGCGTGACTTGTTCTCGCCGGTGTATTTCTTCTTGCCTTTCTTGGATACCTTGGGCTTCGAGCTCTTTGGGCTCTCCCGTCGACTCGGTGATCTATCTGGCGAGGATTCCACCGATGATTCCGAGCTCAAGCCGACTAAAGTGCCGCGGTTCCTCCCCAAGAGCATGGTGCTCGGGGAAATCACTTCCGCGTCCCAAAAGTCTTGAGCCCTCACCGCTTCTGTGAAAGCAGCTGACCATGGGCTCGAGCTTGGGACCCCGAGTTTCGGCTCGATTTCCAGGTTCTTGCGAATTTCTTCAATATGCTGGGATCTCATCTTGGAGTCCGCTCTGCATATAAATCCCCAGCAGGACGGACCGAAGCGATCGCTGAGTCCTTTCACGAACTCCCTATATTTGTCAAGTTCGTCAGGTTCAGAAGCTCCTAGCAAAGTCATGGCAACAATGTAAACCTTGAATAGTTTCTCCCAGGAATCCACTGATGCTGGTCCCGGAGTGTCTACTTTGACGACTTCGCCGGTCGGCCCTTCGAAGGTGCAGCTCTTGAAGGATGCCTTGTCCGGCCTGGGAGACCCGTCCGGTTCCCACATCGCCATGTCGAAGTAAGGTATGGTGCCGGCTTTGATGTGAAGTGCCAACCGCGATAGTTGTTCCAGGCTCGGGTCGTTGTCGTGTGGTGGCTCTACCCCGAAACGGTCCTTGTACCTGAGGTACATGGCCCTGACCGAGCTTTGTTGCAATTTGCCCCCTTCAGTTTCAAAACCTATTTCGACATCCCCCACGTGAGCTACCACATCATTGGGAATGCTCTGATTTGTATGAGGTTCACCGTGGGCCGGAAGTTTGGATGGGCCCGACACCTCCACGTTCCACGTAGTGTCTGGCGTCCTCTTAACTTTTAGAAGAGCCACTCTCCGGAACACTTCGAGCCGTGATTGTTCAACCGGTGTCAGCTCTCTTTCCGTCGGTTTGTCCCCAGCGGATGCTGGAGGGACTGCCCTACGGATAAGGAGAACTGCGGCGTCCCAAACATGGCGCTTGATGAATGCGACGTCCCTCAGGTTGATGGGTGACCCAAGGTCTCGGATCAGAGTGTCTCGTAGTGAGTCGTCTAGGCCGGCCCACTGGGCCACG